ATAAACAGAACCTTAGCTTTTCCTTGATGGTCCAGAAGTCACCTGCATCTTGCAGTGCCCTCCCTGGCTGTGCAGTTTATTCCAGGTCGAGAGGACACACGTCTCACGGTCCGATGGCAGCCCCTACAGCCCCTGTTACAGCGGGAAGTGAGCCTCATCTTGTGCCTGATTCCGATGAGCACAGTAATAGGCAGGCCGTGGCTTCAGGCTCTTCATGCTGCTCCCCGATTCTAAGTTGAGCACAGGGAGACCCCGGAGACTGGACTCGGGGACCTGGATCTGAGACAATCGTGCCCCTGATTTGCTGGGAGAATGGAAGCCATGTCGCATTTTCCGGGCCCCCAGGAAGCTGGTGTTTCAGCTCTCACTTTCTGGTGAAAAGCAAACTAGCAATGCAGAAACCCACAGTCTTCGAGATCTGTCCCCTGCTCGCGGGACTGTGTGGAAACATCGGCCCTCAGTTTCATAACTTTCTTTCGCCGGCTGTGTTCATCCAAGCGTCTTCACCCTACCATGGGGCTAAGGCCGATAAAGCCATCTTAAATTGAGAATATGCATAGCCAGTGTACCACACTACTTCCCTCTAGAGCGAGAGAAGATCAAAAGCCAAGATTCAAAGCGGGGTTTCTCCGGAAGGGGTATCTTTTTTGTTTACTTGTGTTTGATTATTTGTCTTTGTCTTTGTTTATTGAGACAAGGTCTCCCTATGTAGTCCAGGCTGGCCTCAAACTCATGGTATGATCCTCCTGCCTCAGCCTCCTGAGTTCGGGGATTACACCACCATGCCTGGCCTGCCTGGCATCCTCTTTGTCCCACTGGAAAGCTGGAAAATCTCGGTTGAGCCCTGCTGAGTCAGACCCCATCTGTTCCCGTACAGCGAGCTGGCCTGGGCCTCTGGGTCCTTCTCTTTGGTGCCTCTGCCCAGTCCTCACACCGCCCTCCCTCAGCCTCGACCTGCCCCTGGCCCAGGCCCCTGCGGGTCCCCGAGCGCAGCAGACCCTCTGACTACCTTCTTCCGCCCTCTGGCGCTCTGTCCCGTCCGTGGCTGCGAGCCCCCGGGGAAAGCAGCAGCTCTGCAATTCTCCCCGTCAGCCCACCTTCCACCTTAGTGTGGCTGCAGGACCAGGACATTACACAATGAGTGACTACGCCAGCCGGCAGCAGGGGAGAAATAGGACTATACAGGGCCCAGGACAAAGCTGCCCGCTGGGCCAGGACAGTGCTTAGAAGCCGGACTGAGGTAGAGGATGTGTGGGGCGTTGTGCGCCCGGAATCCCCAAACTCAGGAGGCCGAGGCAGGAGAACGCTCCAAATTGAGGTCAGACTGGACCACACAATCTCAAACAAAAAAACACAAAAAGAAAACAAAATTTAAGAGCTCGCAGGGCTTAATCTTGGGACTCAGGGGCCCTTGCTGATGTACGTGCGCGTTCACGCGCCCACGCCGGCGGGGGCTGTGGTTTAAACGGACCGCCCTGTCCTCATGCTGCGCCCCCTACTCTTACGGGGTCTCTGGAGGCACACCGCCTTCCCTCCTGCCCTACCCCTCCCAGCGGACCTCGGGAACAAGCAGGCCTTCTCCGGGCGCGGGGACCAAGCCCCGGAACTCCCTGTGCCCCAGAGCCGCCAGCCCAGGGAATCTGGGTTATAAATTATACGGCTGCAGGCGCTATGTCCTAGACGGACACACTGTGACCATCCTTCTTTTCAATGAATTTTTTGTTCAGTACTGAGAATGGACCCCAAGGCCTTCACACCGAGCTAGATCCCCAGGCCTTGTTTTATATTTTATTTTGAGGCAAGCCTCACTAAGTCACTAAATTGCCCAGGCTGGGTTCAAACTTGCAATTATCTTGCCTCAGCTTCCCAGAAGCGCTGGGATGAGGCCGAGGATTTAGCTCAGTGGTTCCGCCGCCTGCCTCCCAAGCGCAAGGTCTCGAGTTCGATCCCTGGTATCAAAAGAAAAAAAATAAAAATTAAAAAAAAAACACCTCAGTCACTAGCTCAGTGGTTCCCAGAAGCTCTGGGATCACAGGCCTGTACCGTCATATGTAGCTCAGTTAAACACTTTGAATCCTTAAAAAATCCCTTTTGGAAACTGGGTGTGGTGGTGCACACCTATGACCCCAGCACTTGGCAGGCTGAGGCCGGAGGATCACTGCAAGTTCGAGGTCAGCCTGGGCTACACAGTGGGTTCAAGGCCAGCCTGAAATACATATACGGTGCCGGTCTCAAAAAAAAAAATCTTTTTTGGGTATGAAGGAGTGAGGTTACCCCAAACAGCTGACCACCTTCCTGGTGTGACCCTGTCCATTCCGGTGAGCACATTCCATGCGTAGAGAACACCAGGTGAGTGGAGCCTGCTCCATGCCTGCCCCCACACGCAGGACAGACGGCCCAATAGGGACCTGGTGGATTCCCTCTGGAAGCAGGGCTTGGAACCAGGTCAGAGGGGGAGGGAGACGGATCTGGTCCTGCTTCCATTTGTTCTGTCCATGCTGGGATGCCACATTATCATGGATCTGTGCTGGGAGCCAGCTGCCTAGGGGCTCTGGCTGTGAGGAAAACACGTGGGGGTTAGGAATGTACAGCACAGTAGGATTGCTGCAATAAAATTAGCAACACAAAAATTCTCCTGTGGGACCAATACAAAATATCCCAGGTGCAACTGGCTCTTGTGTTCAAGGAATCACGCAAGAGCCTAGTTTGGGATCTCAGCAGGAACCATTTTAAGGGAAAAGCGGTAGCATTGGTACAATAGCCCTCCTGCTCTGCCCTCTCGGAGACCTCCCACAGTGAGGATTAATTATTTATCCTTTTCCTCTGGGTTACAGAGCTTTCTGCCTACTTTCAGTGGAGCCAGGTGAGTGGCCTCTTTTAGAGCCATACCTGGCATCGGGACGTTTTCTCAGCCTCCAGCGAGGAGCTTCTATTTTCTAAACTGTCGCCTGCATTCCGTGCTGCAACCGTTGTCTCTCCTGTTTGTTCTGATGCTTTCCTAGCGTTCTGGCTGGCTTTTCTCAGCTGGACAGTGTCAGGTTGCTGGCTTAGCAGTGCCAACTGCTTTTTCCCACAGCCGGCCAAGCAGAATTCAGCAGAGAAGCTTGGAGGGAAGGTCACCCATCGGGGTCTGAAATATAGCATGTTCTTGAAACTGGGGACCGTTGTACCGCAGTCTGGATGGGCATCATCTTTCTGTGCTGAATAAATTACTCCAGCATCACAAAGATAATTAGACAAAGAAGGAAACAGTAGCACTGTTCCTGCCTCTTTGCCGGCCTCTGCTCCTGCCACAATTTGCCAGCAGTTACCAAGGTCAGAAGAGGTGAAAAAGGCAGAAATTAATCAAGCCTTTTATGCAAACGAGTTCTGCACAGTGGAGAAACTGTGATAATTTGAAGAGAAAGGAAGCACTTTGCACAGCATAGCCATTTGCAGACCGATTTATGGTGTGTGAGAGGTAGCAGGAGCTGGCAGCCCCACAGGGCGGGTGCAGCTTAGCTTCTGTGTGTCTGCTTGTCAACAGGTCCTGCTTCTTCAGCGGCTCCTGACCAGTCATTAGAATGCAGGGGGAGCAAGAGGGACCCAAGGAGTCTTGCAGATGCGTTTCGGGGAGCCTGACGTGGGGCCTGACCGAGGGGACGCTGGCTGCCCTGTCCTCTGTCTGCACTTTCAGCAACAGAGGCAGCCCTGTGTCTAGCCAGGGATTTTAGAAAACCACAACCCCCAGTGGGCGGGATCAAGAACTAAGCAAAGACCGAATTGCAAAGTAAAAGCATCATTTATCTTTCCAAAGCGCCTCTGCTAAGGCCAGAGGAAGGACCTACACCCGGCAAAAGATAGTCTTTTGTGGAAAAAACTACCTCAGTTGTTTCCACATTACTTTTTCATTGCTTCCCAGGCCTCTTTCCATAAGGGTGTCAGACGGATACTGCTAAAAAGGTCAGTTGGAAATATCAGATTAAGAACTAAACCTCCTAGCCCGGCATGGTGGTACACGCCTGTCATCCCAGCACTCAGGAGGCTGAGGCAGAATGCTTCGAGTTCAAGGGCAGCTGAACTACATAGTGAGACCCTGTCTCAAATAAATAAAAACCCAAACCTCCCATCACCGGTTGGTCATTCAAGGCCCTTGGTGAGGTCCCTTCTCAAAGTGCACCCCTCCAACTCCACAGCGTCTGTTACGCTGAACCCCGAAGGAAAGACTGTCCCTGCACCCCCACCACGTACTTCCTGGGCCCTACATCGGGGGGCAGCCATTTGGCTCCAAATGCTCAGCCACCTCATTCCTCTGGCCCTTCACCAATGCTGGATGCCCAAAGTGTTATTATTATTATTACTTTTTTTGGTACCGGGGATTGAATTTGGGTCCTTGCGCTTGCACAGCAGGTGACGAAACCACTGAGCTAAATCCTTGGCCCAGTGTTACTTTTAAGTTTTTATGTTTACGAGTACACATGCACAGTACATAATGACTTCTACATCTCTTTCTGTCCCCAACCTCACTCCCCTCTTACCTCTATCTCTCAGTTCCCTTCCTATTGAGAAAGATCTATCTCCCTGCTTCCTCTTCTTTATCTTTTATTTTGCTCTTTGGTTAAACTTTGGGTTTCTCATAGAGGAACTATGCGATAATTAAGCTCGTGTGTCTGATTTATTCCATTTAACATTATGGTCTCCAGGTGCATCCATTTCCTACAAGAGACCCAGGTTTTGCAAGACCAGTTTAGTAAGGAATCTTGGTGATGTACTTGGTGATGATCTCACCATAGCCCTTGTCACCGCTGCCGTTGGTGCCCCTTGGACTGTGAGCCTCCCGTGGGTTCAAGCCATATCCTAGGAGCTGAGCAATGAGCTGGGCATACAGTAGCTGCTCAAGAAACTGTAGCAGGAACTCCGGGAATCTACCCTACGCGGGTCCCAGCATGCGCCTGCAGCGTATCAGTGAATTCTTACAGATACATACATAGAGGTCGGTGTTGGCCTCCCAGACAGCGTTAGGGAACACTGAGGCAATGGGCTTTTCTGATTGGTTTGTTTTGAAGCAGGGTCTGCGTAGTCCTGGCTGTTCTTGCACTCACTATGTGGCCCAGGCTGGCCTCGAACTCGCGGCGATCCTCCTGCCTCGGCCTCCGGAGCGCCGGGATGACAGGCACGCACCCCCGCGCCCGGCCCGCTTTCCTCGGTCCGGCGCCCGCGCCCCGCCCTCCGAACCTGACCGCACCCACTTCCCGGGCGGCGCCCCCGCCCGCGGGCTGACGTCACAGCACCCAGTCGCCGGCCGAGCGCACCCCGCGCCGCTCCGGCCCCATCCCCGGCCCCGTCCCCATCTCCGTCCACGTCGCGGCCCCGCTGCAGCGGCGAAGATGGCCAGCGCGGCGCCTGGGGCCCCGGGCCCGGAAGGACGCGCGGCGGCGGCGGGGAAGCAGGGGGAGCGCGAGGCCGCGGGCCCGGTGGCCGCCGCGGTGGCCCGGCTGCTCGGGGAGCCCGGGCTGTGGCTCGGCTGCCGCGCCCGCGAACTGCTGAGCTGGGAGAGGCCGCTGCGCAGCCTGCTGGGCTTCGCGGGCGCCAACCTGCTGTTCTGGTGAGGGCGGCCGCGAGGGGGCGCCGCGTGACCCGGGCGGGCGGCGGGGGCGCCCCAATCCCCCCCGGACGCGCGTGGCCATGCACGGCTGGCCCCGGCGTGCGCCTGTCGGGCCGCGGGCCTTGCGCTTGCGCCTGCACCCCAACCCCGAGAGGCGCCCCCACGGGTTCAGGTCGGACTGCGCTCCGGAGCGCTGCCTGCCTCAGCCACCGCACGGCACGGAGTGGTGTCCCCCCGAGGGCGGGGTTCCCTGGCCTCGCTCCCTGTCCGCAGCCTTCCGCGGGGAGGGGCAGCTGTGGCCCCCGGGAAGGTCGCCCTCACCTGGCCCCGGTGACCTCCTTTGTCCCCCCGGTGCCCTCTTCGCCGGCGCAGCCCCAGTGCCCCGTGCGGGGCGGGCAGTCTCGCGGCGATGCCTTGTGACCCCTCGGAGTTGGGAGCTAGATAAACACGACAGCTCGGGCCGCAGGGGGATTTTGCACTGAGCTGCCGCGGGTGTGGGTCTCGGGAGCCACGTGATCAGGGGCTTTGACATCGTTCTCTCCTCATTTTAAATTTCATGTGTTTAAAAAGTAACCAATAAAGTGGCGCAGTTCAGAAGCTGGAAGGGTGGAAACTGCACCTTTTGCAGATCTCTCACCTCAGCCCTGGGCTACCCAGTCTCCTGCCCGAGGCGCTGGTGCTGTGCTCCTCGTGTGTCTTTAGTGCATCTCTGAGCAAATACACACTGTTCTGTTCTGTTCCTCTTCCAAGTTGGAGGCCACTTTCTCTTCCTTTCCCAGCTGCCTAGAAAGAGTTCGTAAGGAGCTCTGCAATTAACCTATCTCGGGTGGAGCCAAGTATTCTAAGTACTTTTGCATATGCCGGTATTTTGTAGGACAGTTTCCCTGAAGTGAGTCACTGGGTCAGAGGGGATGTGTACTTGGAATTTTTATCATTTTATTTATTCTTTTTTGAGACAGGGTCTCATGATGTAGTCCAGGCTGGCCTTGAACTCACTGTGTGGCACAGGTTGGCCTCGAACTCACAGCAATCCTCCTGCCTCAGCCTCCTGAGCGCTGGGATGATTACAGGTGTGCATCACTCTGCCTGGCTGCAAAAACTTTTTTCTATGATGTATTCTTTAATAATATCTATGGAAAAGAATGTGTTTGGTATGAAATCATCAAAAGGCATGTGGGAGTTATTGGGGGGTGGCTTTCACCCATTTGTGTGTGACTGGTGAACAGTGAGTAGGCCCCCATGTCCAGCATCTGTCGGGTCCTGTTTTATTTCTCCTCCGCGTGTCTGCGGCCCGTGCTTGTGTGTTCTTTAATGGGACAGTGACACACTTTTGCTCTAGTTGCTTGTGGGTTATGGTGCTTTGGGGTTTATGTCTCATTTCTCTCCTTCATCGAAATATTGGTGTTTTTCTTCCTTCAACATTGTTCTGGGGTTAAAACATTCTCAAGACCGGTAAGTTTTTTCTTTTAAAGAATGTGTTTCTTTTCAAATGATGTTAAATTTCCCAATACGCAAACATTCTGAATTCCAGAAACTGTAAAGCTTTTATTTTCTGTGAAAAGCACAAAAGGTCAGTGTTAGAAATGTGAGAACCCAAATCTTGTCTTAAGCAGTGGGTGGTGTTCCCGCTTTAATTGGTATCCTTTCACTTTTGGGGAAATTAACTTGTTTGTTTTTGTTTTCTGAGACAGGGTATGTTGTTCAGGCTGGCCTTGAACTTATTGTGTAACCCAGGTTGGCCTCAAATTTGTGGTCCTCTTGCTTCAGCCTCCCCAGTGTGGGATTACAGGTGTAGTGATGTCACCATGCCTGGCTTTTTATACATATAATTTTGGGATGATTTAGTACCTGGTACTAGCAGTTGCTTGCAGGAATTTGAGTTTGACTCAGAAGTGCTGACATCTAGTAGCTGCCCTGTATCTGTGACCTTCTAGTGCATCAGACATTCAGATGTGGCTGTAGCAAAACACAGGAAAAGACAGGTGTGTGTGAACCAACTGTGGAAGAAGATTCAGGCAAGAAGAACTCATTTTGTCGGGTCTGGGGACATTGGCATTGTGGACGGGAGAGATCACGTGTCCTCAGAAAAGGGTCATGCTTATTCTGGGTGTAGTGGTGCACGCCTGTAATCCTAACACTCAGGAGGCTGAGGCAGGAGCATAACCACAAGTTTGAGATCAGCCTGGCTCAAGTGATCCTCCTGCCTCAGCCTCCTCAGTAGCTGGGACTATAGGTGTGTGGCACCACATCTAGAAGAAGAATTTCAACTGAAACAAAAGCTGAAATTCCATTTAAACAGAAGTTTTTAAATGTGCAAAACTAAAGAGAATTGATTAGGGACATAGACATAGGAGAGAAAATTTCAAAGAAAATAAAACATTCTTGAATCAGATGCATGGAAACATAATATGCATTCTTACCTGTATTTATGAACAATGCTAAAGTATAAATAAAGGTTAAAAAGTAGATATTCTGGGGCTGGGGATTTAGCTCAGTGGTTTCTCCGCCTGCTGCGTAAGCGCAAGGACCCGAGTTCGATCCCCGGTACCAAAAAAAAATTGATATTCACTCAGAGGTCAGAGAAATTTGATAAAATACATACTGCATAGCATGCCCATCTCAAAGATCAGGGTTTTCGGAACTGAAAGAGATTGGGCTCTCTGAGTTCTGTAGTCCTGGCCGGGGAGGGCCTTGATGTTACTATCACACTCATTTTACCAGTAAGAAACAGTTTCCAAGTTCTGAATTCTGAATTTTATTTATTGAGAAAAATAACTACCATATCCTCACAGCAAAGATAAACATTTTGACAGTCTCTTTCCCAGGCCTGCCCCTGGCTACGTGGTGCCCTCCCAGGGGCAACTGGTAGGTATTACAGTTGTGAACACAGTGTGAAATGGGTGAACCCAACAAAACCAGAAGTACAAGTTGGTTCTTGTTTTTAGGGAATCATCGTTTCTGGGTTACTGACAGTAAAACCCATATTCGCGTGCAGTCAAATGTACATAGATATCCAATCACAATGGCAGTCAAAATCTAGAATATCCCAAAGTGTTCTGGAATGTTCTGGAATTTTCCAAAACATTCTAGAATTTTTTGAATATTCTAAAATATTTTTTCATTCCATTGACTTTTGGGCGGTTCCTTTTTCCTATTACTGTCTGAGGAACTGATCTGCTTTGAGTCACGATCGATCAGACTTTTCTTTCACATGGTATGTATGATGCCTTTCGTGCTTGGCTTCATTTCCTCAGCATTGAGCTTTGAGATTCCCCCTTTGAGGGTCCCTAAAAGGGTTTTTGACCCTTTTCTTTGCTCAGTCCTATGACCATAACTTGGTCACCCATTTGCAGGTTGATGTTTCTTTTTTTTCTTTCTTTTTGGTACCGGGGATCGAACTCTGGTCCTTGCGCTTGTGCAGCAGGCAGAGAAACCACTGAGCTAAACCCCCAGCCCTGGGATTGATGTTTCTTGGAGTAGTCTCCGAGCTTGACTGTTACTGTCGAGGCTGTTGGCACAACTGAGGCAGGAATCTTAGTGTGAAGGCTCGGGCTTTGGTGAGGAAAGGGTGAGCTCTGACCCATATTTGGTACCACACGGTGGCTTTGGACCAGCGAGCGTGAAGCACGACGCCGCTGCCTTAAGTCGTCTTGCCTGTCACGACGCTGATGTGGACTGGCTTGTGTCTCAGCAGGCGCCACAGCCTTCTATTTGTGTAACTGTGAAATGGGGGACTTGACTTGCGTGCACTGAGCCGTCCCAAAGGCCCCAGCGTGGTTTATAGTCAGTGCAGAAGGCTACAGGCCCTCACTCCCCCTCGGGATGCAGCTCCCCTTCGCTCCCAGCACCCTTGTCCCCAGCTCCTTAGAGCCAGTGGCCTCCAAGCTTGGCCCTGGTGGGGTTAGGGATGAGGCTTCTGGCCGCACCTTCCCCTCTGAACTGCAGCCTCCATGCTTGGGGCTGAGCGAGACTCTGGGCTTCCCAGGCTCTGACACAAATGCGGGGTCACCTGGTGCTGGGAGCTCGCTTCCTAAGGCAACACTGCCAGCTGGCCAAGGTGACGTACCCCTCTCATCCCAGCCCACGAGGATTGCCGGGAGTTCAAGGCCAGCCTGGGCTGCATAATGAGACTCTGTCTCACACACACAAACACACACACACACACACACACACACACACACACGCACGGCAACACTTCCATTGTTGGACATCTCCAACTGGTACACATTTTCCTTACGTGATTAAGGCCGCCTCTTGGACATCTCTGCAGCCCCAGTGTCAGGGTTTGTTCTGCTCGTGGTCCCAGTGCAGTCTCCTTTGTCCTAGCTGAGGAATCCCTGGCTCTGTCCACTCCACATTCCTGGTTCCCCCCAGATTCTCCTGGGGGAGAATCTTATGCCCCATTTGCCCGTCTGGATGGTAGCCAGTGGGATTTGGTGGCTTCTGAGTGTATAAAACTATGGCTAGTGTGACTTAGAAAGCGTACTTTGAATTAGTTTTGTTCTCTTTAAATGTAAATGTCAACAGCCACCGGTGGCTGGGGGCTCCTCCGTCCGTGTGTACAGCCCTGGACAGTAGTGATCAGCTGGGTCAGGGAGTCACATCTGTTCCCATAAACCCAGTTTTTATTGCCGTGCTCTATGTAAAGAACAGCAGGAGGCGATTAGGACTTAAGAGTTTCTAATATCGCAGAGTTAAGCTTATTGATTCCAGCACAGAGTGAGAGTCATGTGGGGAGAAGCTTGCTTCTGCTTGCACAGGTCTCTCTTCCCTCTGTGGACCGGTCCAGTCATGTTTCCTGCCTCAGGTCTGTCCCCTCGGGGTGGTCCTCAGACCACCCCACCTGGTGCTGGGGTACGGGGTAGACCAGAAGCCTGAGCTCTCAACTTGTCTTTGAGCTTTTCCCTCTGGTACAGGAGACAAGCTGGCCCCGTGCATCAATCGAGACCGTGAGTCACAGCTGTGAGTCTCGTGTCACGGCTCCAGGGCTTCAAAGCTTG